CAACCACAGAAATACCAGATAGCATTGACAGAAATGTTACCCTTGTGCATCTTTTTTTTTTCCCGAGACCGAGTTTCACTTATTAACCCTTAGTAGAGTGCTATGGTGTCACCGCTCACAGCAACCTCCAACTCCTTAGGCCTAGGCGATTCTCTTGCCTCAGCCTCCCGAGTAGCTGGGACTACAGGCACCTGCCACAACGCCCAGCTATTCTTTTGTTGGCGTTTGGCCAGGGCTGGGTTTGAACCGCCACCCTTGATGGGGCCGGTGCCTTACCTACTGAGCCACAGGCATCGCCCGTACTTTTGTGCTTTACAGTACTATACCAAATGGGAATTAACATCTTGTAACTAATCTTGTAACATTAAATCTTGTAACTAATCTAAAAAAAAAGATTATACCAAAGTCAGTTTTCACAAATCAAGGATTCAAATTTTACTAATTTTAGAATTAAATACCCCCAAGATATCACAGCCTAAGTTAACTCAAGGAAAGGGGTTTAGTTTCCTTTAGTGTGAGAATTCAATTTTTGAAGATCAACTACCACTTAATGCTGTGGAAATTCCCATTGCTGCCTTAGAAGAAAGCCATCCACAAAGAACTACAAAAGACTTTCATAAAACATACTATTCCATCTCTTAGTAGAGAAGGGGAGGATAAAAATGCAAAAAATTAAGTGGAGAGACCACTATTTCAAAATGACCAAAGAAAACTAGACTTTCAGGAATACAGAAGTATCTACTTCTTTAATTTCTAAGAAAATAGAAAAAGAAGAGGTAGGTTAGTGGTACAAATCTATTGCATAGGCCGGCTCATGCCTGTAATCCCAGCATTGGAGGCTGAGGTGGGCAGATCCCTTGAGCTCAGGAGTTAAGAGACCAACTTGAGCAAGAGCAATACCCCATCACTACTAAAAACAAAAAACCTATCCAGGCATTATGGCTGGTGCCTGTAGATCCAGCTACTTGGGAGGCTGAGGCAAGAGGATCATTTCAGCCCAAGAGTTTGAGGTTGTTGTAAGCTATGATGCCAGGGCACTGACTTTACCCAGGGCCACAGAGTGAGATTCTATCTCAAAAAAAAAATCTATTGCATAAAAAGTATGCAGATTGAGACTCCTTTCCAAAAATGTTAATTATATTTCAACTGCTAAATTAGTAAAATACACTTTCTTTTTTTTTTTTTAAGAGACAGAGTCTGACTTTGTTGCCCTTGGTAGAATGCCGTGTTGTCACAGCTCACAGCAACCTCCAACTCCTGGGCTTAGGCAATTCTCTTGCCTCAGCCTCCCAAGGAGCTAGGACCACAATGCCCAGCTATTTTTCCGCTGCAGTTTGGCCATGGCTGTGTTCAAACCCATCACCCTTGGTATATGGGGCTGGCACCCTACCCACTGACCCACAGGTAGCACCATAGTAAAATAGACTTTCTATCCAGTGACCCACAGGTGGCACTGTAGTAAATATACTTTCTAGAAAGGTCCTTGCAGTAGAATATAATAAAAGAATATCAAGGCTCAGCACCCATGGCTCAAGCCGCAAAAGTGCCAGCCACATACACCTGAGCTGGCGGGTTCAAATCCAGCCCAGGCCCACCAAACAATAACAGCTACAACCAAAAAATATAGCCAGGCATGGTGGCAGGTGCCTATAGTCCCAGCTACTTGGGAAGCAGAGGCAGGAGAATCGCTTGAGCCCAGGAGTTAGAGGTTGCTGTAAGCTGTGATGCCACAGCACTCTACCCAGGGTAACAGCTTGAGGCTCTGTCTGGAAAAAAAAAAAAAAGAAAATCAAGATATTCTTTATATTCTCTCCTTTTTCACTAATTCTGCTTCTTTATCTTACACTGCATGAATTCCTATTTTCGCATATCTAAAAAAGGTAAATAAAAGTAGCATGAGAATTTTGTTAATTAATGCATTTAAAACTATAATTTATTTAGGTGAAAATCATCTAAAAAGAAACTTTTCCCTAAATGACAGCCTTTTTTTTTTTTTTGAGACAGATTCTCACTATGTCGCCCACAGGAGAGTGCCATGGTATCGCAGCTCACAGCAACCTCAAACTCTTGGGCTTAAGCCTGACACAAAGCCCAGCTATTCTTTTGTTGTAGCTGTCATTGTTGTTTAGCAGGCCCAGGCCAGATTCAAATCTGCCAGCCCCGGTGTATGTGGCTGGTGCCCTAGCTGCTGAGCTACAGACACTAAGCCATGACAGCCTTATAAACCAAAAGCGTTTGCCTTCTCCATCCACAATAAATTGTATATAATAGCACAGAAAGAGTTCTCTGTTAATGAGAATACCATAATACAGGGAGGAAAAACCTACACTTACTACAAAATCATTCTAGTCTCTGGTTTGAGTATAGAACTGTAAACCAAATACCTAGTCCCTTCCAAACCAGTCCCTCAGCCAATGCATTACAAATCACATACCAATTTATTTTTTTGAGACAGAGTCTCAGTATGTTGCCCTCAGTAGAGTGCTTGGCATTACACCTTACAGTAACCTCAAACTCTTGGGCTTAAACCTTGGGCAGAGAGCTATGGTGTCACAGCTCACAGCAACCTCCAACTCCTGGGCTTAGGTGATTCTCTTGCCTCAGCCTCCCAAGTAGCTGGGACTATAGGTGCCTGCCACA